CGCCACCACCGATATGTCCCAGAAGCCTCATGTTGTTGTTTTTCTGTTCTTGTGGTTTTCATTCCTCACTCTTTGGTGATAAGATCCCCTTGTTATGGTTTTACCCCTCTCTCCTACCCTTAAAAAAAAAAAAACTGAATTACAAGATTTTTTTGTGTGTTTTTTTTTTCTTGATTCCTGCTCTTTTTTTTTAAGAGGGTCCCGCTTTAGGCTGAAGTTCCTTCGAGTGCTTCGCTGTTTTTACGCTTTTTGTATTGGTTGCGTTCGTTTGTTTGCTTTTTCTGTGTTTCCCCGGCCTCCTTTTTTTTTTTTTCTTGAACACGCCGCTAGTCTCGCTCCCTGTGCCCCCGCGGCCTCTGCCTTTGCCCGTCTCGGTCCACCCCGCACACGCACGCGCGCGCACACACACACACAGTTGATTGAAGGGACGGGACAACGCGGTGGGAAGGAGACCGCGCGGGACAGGACTTTGCGGTGTTTGCGCATGTTGGAGTGGACGCCGATATCCGTTTTTCTCTCCCCGCCCCACGCCGCACTTGGCCTTTTTCCATTCGATTTTTCATTAATTGCGGGCATATGATTGTTTTTCTTGTTGTTGGCCCTCTTTCGCAGGCCCCTCCCTCTCGCTACTTCGTTCGCCCCGTCTTTCTTTCCTTCCCTGCGGGCGGGTGCGGTGGCTTTTGTTGCCCCCCGCCCGCTGTGCACTCGGAGGGAGGGTATGAAGAGGGAGGAAGCCCACTCACGGAGAGGCAGATGAGAAGGAAATGAATGAGACCTAAAAGAAAAAGAAAAAAATCGTGGAGCGGTATGAGAAGGGGTATTAGCAGAAAAAAAATGGTACGTAATTTCGGATCCTCCTTTTTTCGTGGTCTACCCGCAGTCCAGGCAGGGTGTGGTGGACAAAGTATTGGGGACGCGGGTTTATTTGTGCGTTTTTCGTTCCATCTTCTTGCTGCTTACGTGTTGTCTGTTGTATTGCTGCAACCCCTCTAGCGCTGTTGCTGCCGCGTCCACCACCAGGTTTTGTTGTTGCCTCGGTTTTTTTTTCGTTTACCTCGCGCGAGATACGGCACTTGTTTGGGTTGAAAAAAAAGAGGAAGGTGGAACTTCGTGTCCCCTGCCTCTTCTTCTTCGTGGGCCCTCTGCTGTGCTTTTGGCGTTTGCCGCTTGAAGGCCTTTTATGACCCCGTGCCAGCGCCTGACTGTGTTTGGGCGCAGCGTCGACACGACTATCGATCTTACTTCTACGAATTTGAACCTGGCAGCTCCCACTGCCGTCTTTTTTTTGTGTGTTTGAATTGTTCCCATTTCCCTCTTGGGCATCCTCGACGGCCGGGAGCTGCACGGCGCGGGGCGGTGCCACACTGTGATGAGTTGGCGCTTCATGCGTCTGTGTGGTGGACACAGCGCGAAGCCCGGTGTGGTGGGGTGTGGTGCTGAATTTCGCTACAGGCGACGATGCCACGCGGAGGCAGCTGGCAGCAATGAACGCGCCCAACGATGGCAGCGTTTGCGGTCATTGGTGACGGCGCCGCGAGGACGGGAGGGGGAGTTGCGCGTTGTGCGTCCGCGCGTGCCTTCACTGCGCTGCCCGCGACGTCCGTCATTCGGAGCACCCCCACGCATCCCTCCTCGATGAAGCCACAGAGTGGGAGCCGCAAGGAGGGATGAGAGAGCCCAAGACGGCAGCAAAACAGACCAGCAACAATAACAACAACGAACGCTTTCTTCCAAATAAAAAAATTGGACGAGAGGAGCGAAAATAATTTAACCCGACAAGAACCAGCTCTCATCGTGCCCGTTTTTTTTTCTCTCTTGTTACTGCTCGCACAGCTCGGCGTTCTGCAGACTGTTGGGCGCCGCGCGGTGGGAGCGCCGCGGGACGTCAAGCGCGAGGCATGAGCCGGCAACACGGGGCGTCCCACACTCAGGGAAAATGGTTGTTGAACAAAAAAAAACAAAAAGGAGGGCTAAAAAGGGGATGATTATTTTCTTAGCATTTTTTTTTCGTTTTTTTTTCTTCTTCTTTTTGTGTGCGGCCATTACACGAGGAATGCTGCTTCTTTTCTCCCCCGCGATAACGAGCTGCCCGGGCAGGTTCCTCGTGTTTCGTAGAGGCGCACATACACGTCCATAAATAGAACCTTATATAGTGCAAATGATGCGTGGTAGAGGAAAACAAAAACACCGGTAGCGACACGTACGCAATTGAAATGAACGGAAAAGAAAAAAGAAAAGTGTGTGGGAGGGAAAGAACCAGACAGGGGCGCTGCTGCAGATGAAAGGAAGAGAAAGCCGCGAGAAGGCATCCCCCCTTCTCCTCTTAAAAACACTTTTATTATTATTATTTTTTTTTGTCTCTGAACTAAAAAAAAAAAATGGAGAAAGGGGGTCTGCCGTTCCCGTGGTGACAGGCGCATGTGTGCATGTCATTAATGCGATCACATGTAGGTACCAAACTGACTCTGCAGACGCTTCACCTGCGCGTCAAATCGGGTTTTTTTTTTCCTCCGTCTTCGAGCGGTGACTGAGGATGCCAATTCGGGGGGTCAAAAGGGCACTCAGCTCACAAGGAGACACCGCCAACTGGAAAAAAGGAAAACAAAAACTAAAAAGGAAGAAGAGCCCGCAAAAACCCATCGCTTTTTTCGGATAATGATACACGTGCAGGTGTCCTCCCTAAAAGGGTATGAAAGTATCTACAAAAGGTATTACAATTGATATGTTGTTAAATACTTGTGTTTGGAAAAAGGCAGGGAAACACAAAGACGATCGGGAAAGTAACGAGCGTTGTATGTGTTTGGTGGTGTTGCAAGGGGGGGGCTGTGTAGCAGTGGACGAGTGACTGCATTGGGGACGCGCAACCGATAAGCGGGGTGTCCGTGCGTCGACGGCGACGACTCTTTGCCGCCACCGCCACTTCCCGTCCAGGTCGAGCAAAAGCGAACGGGAAGGGTATATTGAAGCAACACACAAAAAAAAAACACGAAAGAATTGGGGTATTTGTTTAGTGCCGGCAAGAGGGATGCATGATATATAGGGAACTAGATAAAAAAAAAATGTTTTTTTTTTTTTTTGCTCGTTCTTTTTATATC